CGCGGACAGTCACCAAACACCGACATCTTTAGACGCGAGACGAACGTGGCTGAAAGTAGCTGCTGATCGCATTTACTGGAGGGGCCCCCAGGTCAGGAACACATAGCCACGTTGCTGGAGCGCCACTATCCAATCCTGCGAGGGAGTCTCCTCTTCGGACGAGTGCACAACTAGACATGCCGGCAGACGGCGATGTTTCGACAGAGCGCTTGATTAAGAGAGGGAAAAGGTCGGCCGCAGGCAATGCTTGGCGCGGCATACCCTGAGTAGAATTATCAGGTTAAAACGCACTCTCATTGATGTCAACGGCAGCCGCATGGACAAACCGCCCGGACGCCGCGCCCAACGCTTCTGGCCAGAGGGGTCAACATCGAAAGAGACATCCATGATGTACATGTCATTGATGATCAACATCCGACACGACATCTTCGACTCGCGTCTGGCGTAGGCAGTACAGTAGGGCCGCTCAATTCTTGAGGACGCAGGACGCAGGACGCACTCAGAGCTCATTTGATGGATGTGATGGGATAGCCGAGGATAGCCGAGGATAGCCGAGAAGAGGATTTTGGAGGTGTATGCCAGTTTAATTTGTAACTCCGCCGCTGAGGAACGAAGATGTGCCCGATGCGGAAGGCCGTGTGCGCGCGCGTCGCGTTCGTGCAATCGATAACCAGGCTGTACTTCAGTCTCTACCCCTGCTCTCTATGCCTCGGCGTACAAAAGAACAGACCTACAATGCCTTCATGGCTGCGGGGCTCACAAGCCTTGCCATATCTATGGTTTTTGACGAAGATCCCGACAACTTAGACCACGAAATTAACGATCTGGATGAAGACTACAGCGAGGAGCCGGATCCAATGACGCTCTCCACACTCCTTGAGCTCGCTGCTATTGACTGGATCTCTATTGCAGAATCTTTCTATGCGTCAGGCCCTGGCTCGAGAGGTCCCTATGACCAAATCCCAAAGTCTGTGGACTTCTTCAGTTGCTGTCTCCAGGCTCCTGATCGCGAGTTCCGCCATATGTTTCGGTATACCTTGTAGTTGTCACAACAAAGTTCTGTGCAGTATTCAATTCAATTTTATTTCTAGTATGGGCCGAGTCACATTCGACCGGCTTGTTGCACTCTTGGCTACTAATCCGATCTTTGCTTCTACTGGTATGGTCTTTAGTCTATTCCCTACTACTGGTCAGACTTATAGCAATTGACGATCCTTACGGCACAACCATAGGCAAACGTCCACAGCGGCACGTGAAGTACCAGCTTGGTGCCTTTCTTGTACGCTACGGAGTTCACGGCTCGGACACTCTCTGGACTGCAAAGAAGCTCTCTATCGGCTTCGGATCTGTCTTCAATTATTGTCGGCGGGTCACAGCCGCACTCCGTGAACTACGTGATGACTTCATTGGGTGGCCAACACCTGATCGCAAGGAAGTCATCAAAGACGACATATACGAAGTCTCGGGCTTTCGTGGCTGCATCGGAAGTGGTGATGGGTCATTGATCCGATTCCTAGAGCCACCTGTCCATGTTGGACACGCATATGTGTCCCGAAAGAAGTTTGTTGGGGTCTGTGGCGTATATTTTCCTCATTCAGAAGTTGGTTATATTTCTTACACCTCTTTGGCAGACAAACATTCAAGCTACATGTGACCATGAAGGGCGCATCACTTCATATGAGCTAGGGTATCCCGGATCGGTACCAGACGTCACCATTTGGAAGGACTCTCACCTGTGGCAAAACCGCCATAGCTACTTTCAGAATGGAGAATATATCCTTGTGGACAAAGGTGTGTGATTAGACTGAAAACAGGTGTCTTTGGCTGCTACTCAAGTTGTAAGATGTTCTACAGGCTATCCATCATCTCCGTTTGTCCTCCGTCCGTTCAGCGAAACAGAGGTCAGAGCAGCACTCGAGAGCGATCGTCCCAGGATGCGAGCTTTCAACAGACTTCTATCATCTGTACGGATTGTGTCCGAGCACACATTTGGGCGACTCAAGGGGCGCTTCCCATCACTCAAAGACTTGGGCCCTCATGTCGATCTCGAAGATCTGTACGATGTCCTCGAGGCGCTCATCATCCTCCACAATATCTGCATCGATTGGGATGATAGACCCGAGAATATCTGGAGCTTTGATCCAGACGATCCACCACGCAGTAATGAGGAGATGCCTCCTGACGTTGACGGTGACATGTATAACATTTGCGCCAACATTACGGGAGGAAGTAGAGTACCGTTGTACGAGACAGATGCATGGCTTAAGGAAGAAGGGTATCGCAAGCGTTGGGCAATTCTTAATGAATTATTTCCATGATGTACCTATAAGAATTGTGAACGGACCCAATTGTTCATCACCTCCTTAGTCGCCTCGTCTAGAAGACTAGAACCCTCCGCTGCCTTCATCAGTTCGACACGGAGTTGGTTAGATTGCGCACTCTTCTCAAGCTCGAGTCGTTCGCGGTTGATCTTCAGGCGCTCTGACGACTCGGCTTGTTGCACCCGTTGACGCTCGAAGTCATGCTCTAGCTTGAGCTTGAGAACTTCGTGGAGGCTACCCGATGGAAGTCGATTTCCTGCTTTTGACCCTGGGTGACGTGGCTCGGACACAACCTCTGCACAGTGAAAAGGCTAAGTGACAACATAAAGGAAGAGAAGGGAAACATGCACATACGCGACGGACTCAATGGATGCGACAGCCCAGGCGCGGCAACAGCGGACTTTCCCTTGTTGCGAGACACTGGTGTTGCAGAGTTGCGCTCAACCGCACGGGCCATGCGTGCATCACCAGAGTACCTACACATTCATATGTGAGGCATAGAGCCAACAAGCAAGATCGGAATGGATACACACCGCGATTGAAACAGTTTTAGCCACCCAGTGCTGCGCCACTGCTCCCAGGTCCCAGCCGACAGATGCCCCACATTCCGCCCCTTCGCCTTTGCAGACTTGAGCAGTGCCTGGTACTTACGAATTGCAGCTTGACGGTCAGTGTTTTCATCGATGTCACCACCGCCACCAGTTACGCCAGTTGCAGCGACGATGTGCCGGTACGTCTTTAGCGCCCGTGCATAGTGCTTACACGCTGCATCTGCCGTGTACGTGCCTTCAAAACGCAGTTCCCGAATAGCCTATAATAGACTTAGTGTAACACCACATAGACGCAGACACTCATAAACCACATACCTTTTGAAACACACGTTTGCGGTTCACTTGCAGAGTGTTGAAAATCTCGTCGCTCTCGACACCTAGAACATACTCGTACAGAGTCGTCCGGTCAGCCTGAAGCCATTTTCGCCCCCGCGTGCTATGCCCTAACTCTCTCTGACCATCCTCCACATCCACATCACTATCCGCCAGCTCCCCCAAGTCATCCTCCTCGTCTAACACCAACTGGTCCGCATCATCGTCCGCATCCTCCTCTTGATCCTCATCGTCCGTAAACCCTTCCGCAAGAGGTGGTGCGATATCACCAGACACATCCTCATTCTCCTTGTCGACGTCTCCGGCCGGTTTGGCTGCGGCCGACAAGGGAGGACAACCCTGCGAGGAGAGCGTCCTCGCCTTTCTCGACGTCATCTCGGAATGCGACTCGGCCCTTGCCCGCTTGCGAGGAGTCGCAGCAGCAGCAACAGCAGCAGCCTTGGACGCCTTTGCGGGAGCAGCGGCCGATAGCGGCTTGCGTCTCGATGGCTTGCGTGTACCCGACGAGGTATCGGCATGTGCGGCGAGGACTTCCGAATAGTTCTGGTTCACCGTGATCGGTGCCGAAGGCCGATGATGATGTACATCGGGCGAGTGTAAGGGTTGTTGAGAAGGGTCGAGTTGATCGAGTTTATCGAGTCCGTGGTGAGCGGGATGCTGAGGGCGCGAGTTGTATACGAGTCCAGGCGTACCCTGACTAGGGGGAGGGAAGTTGGGAGGCAGATGTGGGTGTGCGGGCGCATGGGCTGGTGTCGGGGCTTGATGCTGTTGAAGTACATGATGAACGCCGGCACGTTCATGGTGAGCTTGGTGCCATGCAACATGCGCTACTCCATGCGGAGGAGCGCTGCCTGTTCCATTGACCTTGAAATTGCATGAGAATACAGTAAGATAAAGACAAGAATGGACGTACCTTTTGTTCGAACACGCGCGCTTCTACAGGCCATGATTCGCAGTCAATGTTGAGTGCGTCATCAAGCTACATTTTATGTAAGAACAGACAATATGCTTCAGAACATATAACTCACTGTGAAAAGCTCTGGCCTCCTAAGGTAGTCCCCAGCCTCAAATGCTGCCTGCATCAACTCCGCTTCCTCGGCCTGAGAGAACACGTAAGTTGGTCCTTCTTGATGATCGCTACGGTCGCTGCAAGTCCAGATTAGTAACTAGCTGAAATACACAATACTCATTCGCCTACGCCATAGATCCTGCAAAAACGCGACATACACGACTGCGAGAGCGGGCACGTCCCTCACAGTCGCGTGGGCTTCGTGTCGAGAGATGAACGACAAGCCCCGAGGCTCCTCGAGGGCGACCTTGTTTAGCGCTCATTACAGTTCAATGTCCGACACAGAGGACTTAGGGTTTAACTAGGGTTACGTCTTCTCCTGCTCGCAATACCTCTCCTCGGCTATCCTCGGCTATCCCATCACATCCATCAAATGAGCTCTGAGTGCGTCCTGCGTCCTGCGTCCTCAAGAATTGAGCGGCCCTAGTCAACACGCAGGTCCAGAGGGATGCGAAGCAAAGGTAGTGTAGGAACAGAGGGAACAGTCCGTGTAGCCGCTGTAGCGCGCACGACGTGCGCTCGTGGCTCGTCGAATGAACCGACAGACGCACATCGCAGCATCGTTACTTCCTACCTCCATGCGCCTCGTCGTGTTATGTGTCTTGCACTAAGAGGCATCTGACATACGTATATGCATGCGCTTGTATGATGACGAGCGAACACCTGTAGTAGCGAGGTACCTCATAAGCTCCTCCGCCTCAACAGGTGTGTTTGGCGATTGCTTGTTACCCTCCTCCTAGTTTCCCTGATATTGTGCTTCTAACATAGTAGGGACCGGCGGAACCCTCTGAACCGCGCCCCGTGGTAAATGCACGTCAATAGGCCAAACCGACAGGACACCGGAAGTGTCTGTGGGTCCTGCTTTCTCTCTGGAAGCACCGAAAACGTCTCGGTGGGTGCATCGTCAGCGTATGTGCACACAATCCGTGCATCGAATGCTGAATACGCTTGTCACAAAGCCCGACAATCCTCGCTGCTGATCGAGTGAAGAACCTCCTCCGACTTTCTGTCGATTGGCGGCGAAGGTATGTGCCAACGATTGCGGAAGCGATCATCTCTCAGAACGAAAGCCGTCGCCCCATGCTTGTCTAACGACAACCCCGACAGTCAGAACTGCCTCAGATGATGCTTTGGGTAATGGCCGTTAGCCCTACTTCTGTCCTTGTATGCCATTGAAATTCTGTGCACCGGAACTATCGTGTCTGCCCCCCAGACGAGCGCGTGTACAACGACAAAGGGTACGATGTTCGCGGGAAGTTCGAAGCCGGAGCAGGGTTGTCTGGCTCCCTCCTCCAGGGATACTGCGTCCCATTGATAAAGGATATATTTGAGCCTGCGTGTCACTACCAACGGCACGATGGCCTAGTACGTCATAGTGAATTGGAACGTCTACCCTCTCAGACCAATTCTCGATTAATAGCGCCGCAATAGCGACGCTCATTCCATATTCGTTAACTACAATTCACAATTCTATATGCCTGGCTGGGTACTCCAGTTCATCCCCTCGCATGCGCATGCGACAAGGCCCTGACGCTCGTGAGGGAGGGGTATAGCGTCAAGCTCAAGGAATGGCCACGCCAAGGCGCGGTCCTTGAAGCTCTGCAGCTTGAGGCCTGCACATAGACCTTGCGCGCATCCGTGGGAAGCGCGAACGGCACGGTTCTCTAGCATGTAATTTAGGCTGGCCTCGTCGAGCCTTGTACGCCCACTGTACAAACCAAACGCCGCGATCACGTACATCGTGGCATCGCGAGTCTTCCACATCTCGTCTTCCTCTCAATAGTTGACAGCTGATTAGTTCCAGATCGTAGAGCCTCTGTGTGCTACGTGGACAAAAAGACGGATCGAGGATATGCTGTGAAGTTCTGCATATCCAGTACACAATCACCCCGGAATGTGGCACGGAGACGAAGGGGCGGATGAGTACACAATTGGAGAAGGGTTCGACGCCCCACCCACACAGAAACACTGATGCGATCACAGGCTGCATCAAACCTGAAGGTTTGAGCGACTCTAGAAGGGCCGCTCAATTCTTGTGGACGCAGGACGCAGAACGCACGAGTCAGAGCTCGTTTGATGGATGTAGCCGAACCTACCGCATACGGCAAGCTACGAACCTCATTTCTCGTGCCCGTTGTTTTCCAAGGGGTCTGTCGTGTCCCAAGCATCACAGAAAAATTTGAATCGCGAGTATGTTGAAGACGAAAGCTTTCCGCGTCGATTGACACTACCCTTGAGGCACTTTGTGAGGGGGGAGGAGTGTCATCGTCGCCCGAGGGGCTTCGAAGGCGAGCTTGTCGGCTAGTCTCGTGTAGCCCATCACCCTCATCGATGGCCTCTGGACGCGTCTT